AACGAAATGTGTTCATTAACCGAGGACCACTGTACCTGTACTGTATAGTACGTACTAGCATTATTATTCTTAACACTCATAATTATAAATGAAAAATAAATCAGTATGATTATCACGCCAAATGATGCATGCAGGAGTTGGGTGTTTTTGCTGTGGGTGTTGTGAACAGTCTGAATACAGCTGAACTTTCATGTTTTTTTCCTACTTAACAATTTTGTAAAGCCTGTATAGTTTATGCAGTACAAGTGCAGCATACATTATAGTATAGTTGAAATTTAAATGCTGTACTTTTTTCCTAATGATATAATTTTCACATGGAAATATTTACAGAGTATTACTGTGGTTGTATGTATTTCCCAGTTTATCTTATCATGGAAGGTACAGATGTGAGTTAATTATGTTTACTGGATTTTGTTCACAATTAATGAATCTTGGATTGGTAAATTGTGAATTATAAATCCACTGATTGGGCAGAATTTACTGTGTGTATAGGACAGAAGTACATCACAATATTGGACTCCTGAGCATCCATAACCTTGTAAGACCAGACTGGGGTTGTCTCGGTACAGTACTTTTATCTGATTAACACCAGAATAATATTACAGTACTGTATTGAACTTGATATAAGCTCAGTGAGGCTGTTGCCTCATTGGGCCATGATTAATTACAGTTCTGTGTTTCAGGATTGGGGTTGTTCAGTTTGGTGATGTACATCCACTTACAATATTCTTACAGAAACTACACATGTTAGTGGATGTTTCTTGGGAACAAAGCCTACCTTGCTTGAATAATGTAGACAGTGTACAGTAAGTGTGAAAATAATGTGAATGTTATAGTCATTCCTGTGCTTATTTTTTATATTATTTCAGTCTTCCTACATTGTATTGACAAAGGTTTTGTGGTTTCTAATTATCAGGAATATTTGTTATGGTTTTTGTAAAAATTTTGGCTTAATAAGTGTAAGTCACTGAACCAGTCTATACAAATCTTGAAGCTTGATGCACTGATGAGTAGTGAAACATAAATAACTTTCTTACTTGTAGCAAAATGAGTTGTCAGTGAGGTGAAATAGTGATCAACTTCTCAGTGTACTTACAATGTTATTGCTTTGATTTAGTCCCTCTTATTATTTATGCAATTCACCAATTAGAACTTTAAACTACAGTACAGGTTGTACCTCTCTAGTCCGGCATTCTGTGGTCCGGCTCCGTGGTCGGAATGATTTTAGTTGTCTAATAGGTAGAAACAGCTTTTTTCTTTTTTTTTCTTATCTGAATTATTATTATTATTATTATTATTATTATTACAGGAGTATTAAATTTTGCTCAGGCCCCAGTGTGGGTCAGCGACCTATGCCGGGTGGGCTAATTCCTTAAAAAAACAAAAAACAAAGCCTGAGAATAAGGTTTGTTTACATCCGGCAGTTCGGCTGCTCTCTCTCTCTCTCTGATTGTCTATACAGAGTACAACATTTAACCCTTCAATATATAGGCAGTAAATAAGTTTGCTTTCATATTCTTATGTAGAGTAATGGCGATATGTTTTTCACGTATGCTTACATACTGGGCAGTCTCACTTTACCATTAATGGTTAGCTACTTATATTGTTCCATTTATTAACATTAAATAACATTACAGGTACTTCAAACAACCATATTAATTTTACATTAATTTTACTACAGCTAAAATCAGGGTCTTATTTTCTTCAGTTTTATATGTAGAACCAATCAGTCACTGGTTTCGTAAGCTTAACATAAACAATGCCGAGCGGCCGTCTAGTCTCCTCTAATATTCCATGTATTATTAATAAATTGTATTGTTAATTTTGCACACACATACATTAATTCAATAAAACAAATTCAGAAACATTAATTAAAATATATGAACAATAAATAAGTGTTGCTTTCATATTCTTATGTAAAATGTGATATGTTTTCGCGTGTCTACTTACATGCGATCTCTCTTTTTTTCTTTACCATTATCATTGCTACTTCTATTGTTCCATTTATTAACATTAAATAACATTACTTAAAACAACCATATTAATTTTACTACAGCTACAACCAAGGTCTTATTTTCTTCAGTTTTATATGTAGAACCAGTCAGTCACTGGTTTTGTAATCATGAAAACAATGCTGTGTCATTTCCTCGTGTGTTTTAATATTCTATTATTATTAATGAATTGTATTGCTATTTTACACACATTAATTCAATAAAAAGGACATTCAGTAATAAACAATAATGAATGTTTTGTACATAAGAGAAATGGCGCTGTTTACGATTATGCACGTCGTCTGCGTTGGCGGGCCGTTCAAACCCGTCGAAATTCAAGTTTCTGCTGTCAAAATTTTATTCTTTTTTTTTTGTGTGTTCCAATAAAATACGTTAAATTAAAACTTCGGCGAAATTTGAGAAGCTACTATCACGACATTTAACCCTTCAATATGTCTTCAAGACCATGACAGAGAAAGTGGTGCTAGTGCTTCCAAGCATAAGCACAAGTCACTATCTATCCAGGAAAAGGGTGAATTTCCATGGTCGGCACGGTCAGGTCGAGGTTGCCGGACTAGAGAGGTAAAACCTGTATTATCTTTATTATTATGATGCTGAAAAAAAAGTAGCAAGCGGTAGAAGACTTGTGGTTGACTGACAGTCAGGCATACTTCCTCTCAACAATTACCTTGCAACAGTTGGGATTTCTGTTTTTTTTTTTTTTTTTTACGGGCACTAGCCCACAGGCACAGGTCATTTATAATGATATAATGATGCACATCAAGGCCTGGGGCGAAAATATAATAGAACAATAATAATAATAATAAGAATAAGAATAAGAATAAGAATAAGAATAAGAATACAGGTTGTACCTCTCTAGTCCGGCAACCTCGGGACACCTGACTGCGGACCATGAAATTCACCCTTTTCCTGGATAGATAGTGACTTGGCAGCAGCACTGCACCACTTTCTCTTCATGGTCTCTTTGAAGACATATTGAAGGGTTAAATGTCGTATAGTAGCTTCTCAAATTTAGCGGTTTTTAATTCAACGTTTCTATTTGAACACAAAAAACAACACATTTAAAATTTTGACGGTTGGAAACTTCGAATTTAGACGGGTTTGAACCTGACCTACGTTCAGACGGCGTGCATAATCTGTAAACAGCGTCATTTCTCTTATGTACAAAAGATTCATTATTGTTTATTACTGAATGTCTTTTGATTGAATTAATGTTTGTGTGTGCAAAATGAGCAATACAATTCATTAATATCGTAGAATATTAAAACACACGAGGAAATGACACGCATTGTTTTCGTTGATTACAAAGCCAGTGACTGACTGGTTCTACATATAAAACTGAAATAGGTTGTAGCTGTAGTAAAATTATATGGTTGTTTTAAGTAATATTATTTAATGTTAATAAATGGAACAATAGAAGTAGCTAACGATAATGGTAAAGAAAAAGAGAGATCGATGTATGTAAGTGCGCACACTTGAAAACATATCGTCATTACTTTTATAAGAATATGAAAGCAACACTTATTTACTGTTCATATATATTTTTAATTAATGTTTCTGAATTTGTTTTTATTGAATTTGTTTGTGTGTGCAAAATTAACAATACAATTTATTAATAATACATGGAATATTAAAACAACGAAGAGACAAGGACGGCTGCGGCATTGTTTATGTTAAAGCTTACAAAACCAGTGACTGATTGGTTCTACATATAAAACTGAAGAAAATAAGATCCTGATTTTAGCTGTAGTAAAAGTAATGTAAACAAATTAATATGGTTGTTTGAAGTACCTGCAATGTTATTTAATGTTAATAAATGGAACAATATATAGCTAACCATTAATGGTAAAAAAAGTGAGACTGCGGCGTATGTAAAGTGCACATGTGACTATATCGTCATTACGCTACATAAGTGAAAGCAACACTTATTTACTGCTCATATATATTGAAGGGTTAAATGTTGTACTCTGTATAGACAAGCAGAGAAGAGCAGCGAACTGCGGATGTAAACAAACCTTAATTTCCAGCGGCTTTGTTGTTGATTTTTTTACGAGGGGATTAGCCCACCGGGCATAGGTCATGACCCACATAGGGGCCTGAGGGCAAAAATTTAATACTCCTGTAATAATAATAATTCAGATAAGTAAAAAAAAAAGCTACCTATTGGACAAATTAAAATGGTTCGGACCGCGGGAGTTTCGGACCACAGAATGCCGGACTAGAGAGGTACAACCTGTAATAAAATAAAATTAATAAAGATAAATGACAATTATAATATAAAAGAAAATATTAATACTGTACTAATAAAATTATAAATAATAATAACAATGAGCCATAAATAAAAAAATAAATAAAAATATCAGGTGAGAAGTAATGTATGTATATTGTGTTGTCAAAGTAATGAAAAATTGAGACCCTGCAATATTGTGAAAATGAGGCAGAAAGTCAGATGAGCAACCTGGGACTTAGTCACAATTTTATTATATATGGCAGCAGGGTCTACCATTAGACAATACATTATGCTTCCAGTATCTTCCCGGGAGGTAGTACCTCTGTTTGATAGCTGCTTACTACCTACCATTGAAACCTGTTAAGTTAATTTTTTTTCCATTTTCCTGCATATATTCTCTTCATTTATTAATTGTAAGCTTTGATGAGGTTGAAGGGAATATCTCGTGTTGTTACAGGTGAGTAAACATAAAGGGAGGCTAAAGATGAGGTAGGAGCTTGTGTGTCAGAGAAACAAGTATGGAAGATTGTGAGGAGATAAACCATAAGTTCTGAATAGGACAATGAACTCTGAAGCAACAGATTCAGTACGAGAATATGTGAACACTGTACAGTACATGGAATAGCTATATATCTCCTTATGACTGTTTTGTAAAATACTGTAAGTGTCTTGATTTTTATTCAGATTTTCTTCTACTGACTGTACATCAACTTAATTACTCTGCTCAATCATTAATATTCTTTTTTCAGCATCGAGTTTACTTTCTGCTGAAGGATAGAGTGATGGCTGGTCATCAAGTTGTTCTCTCCAAACATCAAGTACCGAGCTTCAGTGCCCTGCCAGTGTTCAGCAGGCAACACCACTAGACAAGCCATATTTCCCTATTGCCATGAGACTACTCAGAGTGGTGTCAGTATTGATACAGAAATATTATCCTTTGTTGGTGAGTCTTTTGTGTTGTATTTGTAGTATTTTGCCTCTCATTGTCATTTTGTTGTGAATTCATTGATGATCTAGATTTATTCTTCATCTGTAGTTGAGTGATGCATAACCAGTTTTGGAAGTGCTCTTAAGCGAGATAAATTTATATAAGCTGAACTGTATTACTGAAAACTGTAAGTACAGTTAACCCTTGCTATTCGTGGGGGTTATGTTCCAAGGAATAGGTGAATTTGCAAAACCTTGACTAGCAACTTACATTACCTTACTGCACTCCTGTATACCTATACTGTGTATGAAACTTAGTCACCAAGACAAGTAAAACCTCGTTAAATTGGACTTCAATATATCGGAATTTGCTTTTTGGACACTGAGTTGCTCTTGGTCACCAAATACCAAAAAGAAAAAAAAGAAATGGGGAAGACTAAAGGAAAATATTGTGAAAAAGAACCACACCTATTAGATATGTTACAGTGGTCTAATCAGATTTGCTATCGGCCTACTGAGAACTAAGACACTTGAGTGTGTAAGCAGGATGAGGCTGATCATGTGTTGCCATTCCTCAGGTTTTGTTTATTGGTTCAGTATTATATTCTCATATGATTGGCCTCTTGTGGTTTATGGTTCATCATGATTAATATAACATCTTCAGTAATACAGAAAAATACAATACTGTATGTAATTTGTAATATGACTTGAAAATAAAAGGATAAGCTGTATCAGAAGGTTATTTACTCAGGATGTATGCGTGTGAGAGCTTTCAGCGAACCAGCTTACAACAGGGGTCACTATAACACACTGTATAGTTTTGATATGAAGATACCTTCTAACAACGTTATTTACTACCTTTGAGTGATACATGATGACTCAGTTTGGCTACTGGTACACTTAGACAAATGATTAATGAATAAACAGTACTGTATATGCAGATACATAACACTGTACACTACTATTACTTATTAAGTGATGATAAATATTCTACAACAGTATTTATTAAGTGGTGATAAATACGAGTTTGTATTGTACTAATTTACGACCGGTAAGTGTTGAACACAGATGTTGTGGTAGCCAATCAGCTGTTTGCTCTTTATAAACAAATGACTCATGGATTGTTCAGTGGTTCTTTTTCAGAGCTGAATCCTTTGGATAATAATGTAATCTAGTGATCACGTTATTTGCTCCATATCCATGTTTTATTTGATACATCTCGTCATGGTAAACAATGGATTGGCTAATGCCTGTTAGCATTTGTCTACTGGCATCAAATTCATCAGAAAGCTCTTTTCTGATTGCAGTTTCAGGTTCTGTTTGACAGTCTAGATTATACTCAACATTGTTATTGTTGGATGCGAGAGTTAGGTAAGGCATCAACTCTATCATGTTCACTAATGCCTATGTGAGAGGGATCACAGCAGCTTGATCCTGACCCCGTCAATAAGACACATATACTTGTGTCTGGCTGGGCGGGGTGACAATCTGAGTTAAGGATATCAGAGCAAGTAGTGAGGAAAAGGGAGTTAGTGATGATGAGACTGTCAGTGGCAGTGTCTTCAGCAAGTTCAGGGCTGTGAGTATGGCAAATAGTTCAGTTTGCAGAGTGGATGCCCATTTACTAATTCTAGCTCCTTTCTCTCTAATACATTACCGTTAGGTTGAGTCACAATGTCATTGTTAAAGAGCCATCAGTGTAGATGGTCTGTGTGATGTTATTTTCAGTCTGCAGGTTATGTATGTGGTTAAGAGCTCTCACTTTGGCAGTGTGTTTGGAGATAGGATTATCAGTTGTTTCGACGGGTCTACGTGGGTGTTGTGATGTCGGAAGGAAGGGCAGGGGAGTAAACCTGTGCTACCCCCCTGCCAGCTGCTCCCAGATATACATTTGTCTTCCACATACAATATACTTCTACACTTATTTGTTCTTATTTTTTTATTTATAGTACAGTACAGTGTACAGTTTTCTCTTTTATTCATAAGACAAATTCTGTGGTGGCTTTCGTATAACACTTTACAGTAAATAACAATCATCGGTGAAAACAGTTGTTGTTAACCATACTTAAGTGTGATTTTCAACCCAGAGAGTTTGGCTTCATATTTTTTACTGTTGATGTAATATTCTTTTAATAACCTTGTTATACACTTCAAGACCTTAGTTGTTGAACTGCATTAATAACATAACAACAACGACTTTCTTTAAACAGTACAGATAAGCAGTGTTATCCCCCTATATATTCGCTTTTCCGGACTTTTGCATTTTCGGACTGGGGTCTGCCCCAATTAGTCCGATTATCGGATTCTACTTACCTTTGTATGTGGAAGTTTGGAGTTTGATGAAGTGTTCTTTACAGTAGGATGAAATCTGGTGACTGAAGCATAGGGAGATCATCAGGATCACTATTGGAGGAGGCTGATGCAGTGGTGGTTGATGGAGAGGTGGCGGGGAGGTGGATGGTGGGCTGGTGCTTGGCGGGGAGGTGGATGGTGGGGTGGTGCTTGGCGGGGAGGTGAATGGTGGGGTGGTGCTGGCGGGGAGGTGAATGGTGGGGTGGTGCTTGGTGGGGGAGGTGGATGATGGTGGGGGAGGTGGTGTGTGGCGGAGAGGTGGATGGCGGGGTGGTGCTTGGTGGGGAGGCAGGTGGTGCTTGGAGGGGGGCAGGTGGTTCTTGGCGGGTAGTTGGGTGGTGGAGCGGCGGCATCAGCTGACCAAGTAGGTGAGGAGATGAAAAACATCGTGATAGGTAGTTGTTTCTTCTTGGCTTTGAGGTCATTAAACACTTCGTGGTAGGGAATCAATTCCTGGTTGATTTCTTGGATAATCTTAAGGCTCCATTCCATGGAAGGGTCATGGTCAACAATGAAATCAGTTACCATCTTCACATGTCAAAATAGTTGACCAAAATTGTTCAAGCCCAACCCTTCTTGTTGCATCACTAGCACTACCATAGGCTGTCTTTGAGGGCATTTCACACAGATAAAGTTTTGAGTACAACACAAGAGATGCTGAGTTACTGGCAATGGTTGAGCATAAACAAAGGGAGAGGAGGAAAGGAGATGCTGCGGTAGCATGGGGTGACTCATGCGCTGTGGGAGAGGCTCCTAAGCTAGCCACCATCTGCTTACGTGAATGTCGAAATCGTGAATCACAAATCCACGAATGGCAAGGGTTAAATGTAATCTATTCACACTAAATATTTGCTGTTTGAGAAAAGATTGGTTGTGTTCATTTATTTGATTTATAATGATAAGTCATCCATTTTGTAGCCAGTAATTAATGAGACAATTCCTATTTCGTTGTTACCCCACTGGAGCTAGTTATAACTATAGAACACTGTGTAACATGTTAACTTAAATTTGGTGTTGAGAAGACTTTTCCCTAATTGTGATAGAAAAGGATATAATTTTACCCCTTAATGTGTTATTTTATAACCTAAGTTTGTCTAAAATGACAATAGTGAAAATGCCAGCCAATAGGGCTTAGTGCCCAGGGATGATCTGACCTGATGATGGCTGGTGTAACAATCCAATGAATAGCTTTGTTTCCTTAAGGAACTCTAAGCTCCTACAACTGCACTTTATTTCTTACCATTTTCCTGGGTCTCTCTTGCTCAGTTGTAAGCCAAGATTTCAGGATCAGTTCCACATGATTTTCAATTCATACTGCAATTTTTTTTCCAGGTTACTCAATGTGAAATATTTTTGTCATTGATGGTGAAATTTTTGGATGGTGACCGGCCAATGGCAAGCGTGGCCTTGCTTTGGAGGTGCTTCATAAATTGGCTACAACCTAGCTATTGCAGTCTTTCTGTACCAACTATGACATGAAACCTCATGCTACAAGATATTCCAGGTAATGTATATTCTACTGTGCCATATTGTACTTTAATTTGGTTATTTTTTTCTGCATTGAAATACCTCTATGAATATTATTGTTGTAATGCCTCAATTCACTCATGTTTTCATATAATTGTTATGCATTACACACAAAGTTCATCCTTGATGAATTTCTTGCAGGATATAGTAAACAGCTTGGGTGCATTTGTGCAGTCACTTTTCATATCACCACAATCAAGTGTTGCTGCTCAGTTGGGAGGTGGCAGTCAGAGTGGGGCACAGGGTCAGCCTCCCGCATTGTTGGCTGGCATGCCGTGGGTCGAGTGTCTCCCACAGCCAGCATTCTTCTATAGGGGTGTTTACCTTCCCTGTGTAAACATTCCCACAGGACAAGCAAAGTCTTCATAGTAAGTCCATCGGTCCATTTCTCATGTTGACAGTTTGTCCTGGAGTGCAAATACTGTCGTGTTGTCTATGATGCCTCACTCCCTGAAGCTCCTCTGAGGATAACCTGGAGTGAAGAGCCTCCCATTCTATCACTACAAATCTCCTTTGGTTCTCTTTTCACCTATCTCTTACTCTGTTCTCTCCTTAATATATCACAGCCTGACTGACCGAGCTTCCCACTGATTAGGGCATATGAAAATTTAACCAAACAAAGCTAAAAAATATAGTTACTAGACACAGCCAGAAATGTACAACATTCAGAACTATTAAAAATAAAAAACTGAGCAAAAACAAAGAAAATTGCACATTAGTACACTTTTCTCTTCTTCACTTCACATGCACTGATTTACAATCAGGTTGGATATTTTACACCTAATTTCCTTTTCCTCCTTAATGAGAACTGACTTAAACTCACTCACTGAGGTCATTGAAGTATCCTAGTCTGACTCTGGATCAGATTCATCAACAGGCTGAAACAAAATCCAGTCACTGCTACTGTCTGATGGCTTCCACACATTCATTACTCACCATAGGGTACAGTACTTACAGGGTGTAGGTAATGAATCACATTTCAGTTATCAGAAACAATATCTTAAGCTTTGGTCATTAATTAATTTTATTACTTACAATAGGCTAAACATTACATCAGTGATGTGATGGTTTTACGTTATCTTACCTAACATTTCTTGCTCTGTTGTGGCGTGCATTTGATGAAGAATTATTTCATTAACAAAATTCTCATGATTTTAATTGTTATATCATTAAATAATTTTATGGCTACTATGTATGCTTACAAAATTAAAGTTTTTGTAATTTTACTTAAAATTTTAATTATCTGTATACAGTGGTCCTCGGTTATGAGCCAATCCGTTCAACATGTTGCTCGTTAACATCAACAAACCATTGTTTCAATGGGTTTTTGAGTAGTGGTTCAGAAAAGGCCTAAATTCAACAAAATGTAGGCACACTACTTTGAGGTGTGTATGTGAGGCTCCTGGATGATGATGATGATTAGAATAGGGATGGAGAGAAGGGAGAAAAGGCATTGGGGTGGAGAGAAGTCACCCCCATAGCTTTCATTCATAAAATTTAGTTCTCTTGGTGTAATTCAAGATTATTTTCTTTAAATCAACACTGCATTATATATGGGTTATGTATAAATTCAAAATGACCAATAATTTGCGACACAGAAAAAAACATTAGTTGAAGAGAGTCTCAGCAAGATGTTACCTCCAGTGAAAACAGAGAGAGACTAATGCCTGTTTTGTTAACAGGCTGGATGGCATAAAAACTAGTTTCTTTGCCTTCAATTATGTTCAATAATTGTTAAAATGACTAAAAATATATTTATATACTTTTAAAATTATTGAATAGTATAAAATTCTGATACTTACTAAAATAGTAAAATTTAAGCCCTAAAACCGATTACTGTATTGGCTGACTAATACTACAGCTGGTGGACTGCCAAATGAAAAAACATGTTGAGGTCGGCTTAAAAAAACTGGTTAATGAGGCATGTTAACTTAAAGTTAAGAATCTTATGGAAGGTAACTCGTTAACACGAAATCTCATTAACCGAGGCATCACTGTAATATTCAAGATAATTACATGCCAATGGATTAAGCCATTGGATAAGAATATATTGGCTAGAAAGTACAGAACTTTTTGGGTTGGTGTGACAGCCTATATAAAAGGTTTTAAGTAGGCAGAGTCTTCGTACAATAAATTTTTTTTAACCATTTAAGGCTAGGAATGAAGTTAATTTGTTTAATGGATAGGTAAAAATGTCATATTATCTAAAAAGATTTCCACATACTGTGTCCATTATTTTATCATGTTTGTTTACAGTTTAGAGATGCTGGACAAGCTTGAACCTCCAACAATACCTGATGGTTATGGCGTGAGTGTTGCCTATTACTGCCTTCTTGACATCATCGATCCATACACTTGGTCATGATGGGTCCACAAGCCTCCAGTGATAGTGCAGCAGGTAGAGTCTGATGGCATATTGTTACTTATTGTAACAAAATGGAAAAATCCAACCTAAGTATGTCTATTATCACCTGACTCAGTTGTGCCCTCACCCATCTTCTGATCTACTCTGTCCCATTCCCAAATACTGTACCAGGTTGTTTGGAGTCTTACTAAATCTAATCAGATGAGTGTGTTTGTCTGATTTTGAGGATGACTATGATGGAACTTACAGTAAGTCATGTTTTACTTTCATCACTGATTAAAGTTGTTCCCATTTTGTGTGTTCTTGTCTTGTATGTTTCTTGTTTTTGTTGTTCAGAGTGAGTGAGCTGTACAACCCTAGTGATGAAAACGCATAAGGTCCACGAACAGTTGGTGAACTCTGCCTGGTGGCCTACTAGCTGCTCTTACTATCCTACTAGAAGCTTGTACTGATGAAGCTGCAACAGAGAATATTCTTAAGGCTATCCAGGTCTGTTGAACATAGAAATCAATATAAAAAGTAAATATGTATTATTACATTTTCCTCTTGCAACCTTGTCCTTTCTGTGATAATGGGTGGTTGGGCAGGTGGTGACTTCTTTGTTTCTTTAGATTCATCAGCTATAGGGCTACCCCATGTTCTTGGAATATTCCATTCACCAAAGGCTTATCTATAGGTAAGTGCACCTGATATTACAGTGATACCCTATAAGCCGAAACAATTGGTGCAACTCTTTATGGGATAGAGATTTCAGATATGAGATGACTCAAACCAATACCACCTCCCGAATTTTCAGGTATACAGTAATATCTCGTTAGCGGAATCCCTCAAACCGAACTCTCCGATAGCTGGAATTGAAATTTCCTCAGAAAATCATTCCCAAAGCTGGAATTTTCAAAAAATTTACAGCTTTAGGAAAATTTTTCAAGTTGAAAATTGAGAGAATTTCTGAAAATGTCTTATAGACAAGCAAAGCAAAATATTTTTAGGGAACTATTATAAGTATAATAGGCTCTCACAATAGCGTCAATAGGTGCCTGAAAAACACCATTATTAGCAGCGTTATTGTGACATTAAAATACACGTAAAAAGGTTTATTGGTGCTGCCACCCCAAGAATTTCACCAAATTTCCCTTAGAAGCCCTCCTAACACTTTTTGTTAGCAGAAATATAAATTGTTATTCAATCATCAAAATAAAGAGTTTGAGTTATATAACACTTAGCTTGGGGAGTTTTTGAGGTGCTTGGTGTGATGATTGTTCTGTAGTCTGAGGGCATACACTTGCATTGTCTTTCATTCTACAGGCTAACCATTCTCAAAAAATGCTCTGTTATCACTAACAACCTGTTTCTATCATTTGATCATTCATAGCTCGCCTCGCATTTTCCATCACTAAAATATTTCTAAGTTCCTCTTAATATTTCACACTGTAGACTCAGGACAGTTCAGTTTCCTCACAATATCAATGTTCCGTACCACTTTCAATGGGCTCAACAATCTGTTCTTTATCCTTGACCGGGTAGGCACTCTTCTTGTGGCTTTGTCTCATAGCTTTGGTCTTTCTCATTCACTTTAAAAGTTCTCTGGAGTTCAGGCAGCAAATCCTCCCTCCACCAGCTCCCCTACCCGGCCAATCAGGAAATATTATTGTTCACCGATCCTAGCAACCACTGGTTATAGGTAATCTCTCCGTGAGCTGGCGCTGTATTCCACAGGCGTGTGTGTGAGAGTGGGCGGACTGGACCTCGTCATCAACATGGCGCAATACCTTCTTTGATGCACTCCCTTCAAATCTCTCCGTTATTCAAGAGAATCCAGACTTTATTATAATGGGTATCTATTGTAACTAACGTTATTGTCAAAAACATTATTGTGGAAGTCGTTATTGGCGAGAGTCTACGTAAAGTATAAATGAGAAAAGTTGTATCCCTTCAACATTACATTATATAACATTTTAAAATATGGAGTAAGAAAGCAAAAGGTGTGGGTGATTAGAGATGGGTGGAAGGAGTGGTAACATGCACCAGTGTTGTCAAGCTATAAGCTCCTCAACAGCTGATCTTTTGATCGCCTCCATGCAGTCACACAACAAGACCCTCACTGGTTGCTTGTTGTCTTAATTCCTCCCAGAATTTCAATGTGGCTTTAGACCATCATGTGTACGACGATCTTTGCTGTCTGCCAGATACAGGAAAAGTACAGAACAACAGTGACATATACATGGCTTTCATCGACCTAACCAAGGCCTTGACTCGATCAACAGGAAGCCCTCTGGTGCCCAAAAATTCATTGCCATTGTGAGGCAACTCACAATGGCATGAGCGGCTGTGTCCTGCACTGGCACGGCTGAGTTCTTCCCCATCTAAACGGGGGTTAAACAAGGGTGTGTATGGCACCAACTCACTCTCCCATTTTCTTGGCTGCCTTCCTTACTGTGCAGTGCCAATTTAGCCTTGGGGGGTGGACATTGAGTACAGGATGAAGGATCTTTTCAACATAAGACGACTACAGGCAAAAACAAAGGTGTCAGCAGCATCCATTACTAAACTTCAGTATGCAGACGACTGACCCTTGTTGCTCACACTGGATACAACCTACAGAAGATCCTGAACACCTATGCAGATGCTTATCGCGCCGCCTTAAGGTAAATGTACATAAGACTCAGATTCTCTTTCAACCTGCCCTGGTTCAGACACACCTCCACCATCCATCCAGCTTAATGGTACTACCCTCTCTAATGTTACCCACTTTGGTATCTCGGATCCCACCTGTCACCATCGCGATATCAACGAACAGATTCAGCATTGGATCAGATGTGCATCTCAGCCTTTGGCAGACTCTGAAACTGTTTCTTCAGCTGTGAGCTGAAATTATCTGCAAAGTTACCGTATATCGAGCAGTAGTCCTCCCCACCCTGCTATATGGCAGCGAGCCATGGGTCACATACAGGAGGCACCTCAAGGCAAGCAACCTCACCAACATAGTCGTTCCGTCCTCTATGTTAGCTGAGAAGACAAGAGAACAAATGTCAGTATTGCTGGCACCAACTGAAAGAGCATCGGGCTACCATTATCCATGAAGAACTACGCTGGGGCTGGCCTGTTACCCATGGACGATAGTAAATTAAAGCAGCTACTTAACAGTCACCTAACGAATAGTAAACGGCGCGGCGGGCAACTGAAAGGTATGAGGATAGTCTTAAACAAACCTGAAAAAGTGCCAATCGACCCCCTCACCGAAGTCGATTACTCCACATCGTAAAAGCTTGGAGGAGCACCACAAGAGACACTGTCAATACTTCGAGTTAGCCAGACTGCAAATCGAGGCAGACAAGTGCCATCGCCGAAGAGACTGCACCGCCCCTCCACACTCGATGTAGCCCCACATGTGCAACAACATTCAGAACAACTCTGCTGGTCCTGATGGCCTTTAATCACCTCAAACTCACCAATGAAGGTGACATCCCTTGTAACTCTTATCATTGTATCATAGCTGGATGATCGCTATACACGATTCTGAGTGACAGCAAAGTAGTAGTAGTAGGTAAGACCACATAATAGCTCAGAACACAATAAGGGAGGCGGATACCAGTGAAGTAAACAAGATTAAGATCCATTATAACAGAATGACAGCATATGGCGTGATAAGTTGCAGCAACTGTTGCTGCAAGTACCAGAGAATTTGAAAAAAAGTAGCTATAGCACAGGAGGTGGGCAACTCGAACTGGTTAACTACGTTACCGATAAGGGCAAATGGTTTCAATCTCAATAAACAAGAATTTACAGATGCCAATGTCTGCAATGGTAGGCCAGTAAAGGTTTGCCTCCCAAGCGTGGTGTGGCTCTTCCTATGACGTCGATCACGCCATGGTGCAAGAAAGGGGGCTTCAAATGCATGAGGCACGTTGAAGTAAGGGACCTTACAGCAAATATGTTGAAGGAGATCTGCCGGATGTCAGAGTAGAACCGACCTCCTTCCATTGGACGGTGAGAATTTAACATAGGACTTCAAACACATCCAACGAAGCCCGTGTTGACGTCAATGCTCGAGGATTCTGGACGCGGGGACAGTGAGCCTTCTTCGACATCAGGATTTTATCCCATGGCCGTGATGTCAATCAGAACTTAGCTCTCGTTGCTGCACACAGGAGGAACGAATGACAAGATAAGGGCATATGGGGAGAGAATCAGAAAGTTGATCAAGGCAGCTTCACTTCTAGTGTTCACAACCTCTGTGGATGGGACCAAGTAAGATGTTTCATGACCTCACGTGTTCTATCCGGAACAGAAGCAGCAGCCCAGAAGTTATGTTACAGCCTGGATGAGATGTCAACTGTCCTTCTCTTAGTCGGCTTTGCTTGCCTCGGGGAACGAGAGCATTGGCCCCAAAGCCGACAACAGTTGCAGATATTGACTATGAGGCAACAAATGACAGATCTGTGGCTCAACTAACTCAACACAGCTAGGATAGCTACTTATGTATTAGGATATTTAATTTTAAGGTAATAAAATGGTGGCGTACATGTATGGCTATAAGGGAGGATAAATATTAAAAAAGTAGTAGTTCTGTAGTAGTGTTAGAGTCAGGTGGTGAGGTGACATGCCAAGATTACATACACACATTAACAGCTCTACTAAACCTTTGTCTTATAATATTTAATGTTATAATTTATATTTTTAAAATTAATTGATACATGACTGGGCTACATTTGCACTTAGACAACTGATCAGTGAATAAACCAGGGCAAGATGCATTATACACTAGTGATGTCATGAAGCTTAAACTAAATTAGGAGCAACAACATAAATCATAACCTGTATCCTAATTGTACTTAGTTAATTACTAAAATTATTATGTCTGGTGCAAAATAAGGTATGTTTATACCAAATTGCTGTCTTACAAGAATTCCAGCAATGTAAGTTATATTCTCTTAAGTCAAGTCAGTGACATTTGATAAGCCAAAATTTAAACCCTCTGCCTTTCATAATCCTTGAGTAAGCTGTTAATCTTCCCTCCTGGCTGTCAAC